ATGTGCGCGGCCGCGCAGGCGCGCACCTTAGAGGGAACAGTGCTCTCTACCTCCCAAAAATTTATTGAAAAAGATATATCAATTATTTCCTCAGTCATAATACTGATTTTATAAAGGTGGAAAATTCTACTACAATCCTTCCAAAGCCATACTATGCTTTACAAAATATCATTTTTAGATTTCCTTATGAGTCATACTTGAATGACTACTACCAGTATGTGGGGAAAAAGCGTTGCTTCAGAACATCTCTGCAATAAACTTTCGTTTTACCATGATTGAAATTAAGATGGCTGGTTGATAGACAGCACATGCCTTTCCCCAAATTTCCCCAAGCAGAAGAAACAAAGGGTCTTAATAAAAGTAGGGTGATTTTCTGTGGAAATTCTAGAACTTTCAGCAGTGTTACAAACTAAAAAAATTGTTAAACTGGGTGTGCTAACAGTGCGGAGATGGCAAATTTCATGAGATTAAGGAAGTCTGAGCTAATAAAATCAAGGAACAAAACTGATTAAACTTGAAGGATTAAACAGTAGACAAGGCCTACAACATATTAATTTTCAAATTACATTCCCTGTGAACTAATATTGGACCAGACTATGCTGACTTTCCAGAAGAGACCGAAGACATGATTTTGTCATCTGGCCTGGATATCTGGTAATGTGAAGCTTGAAAAGTGCTAGAAAATGAAGTCCATTCTTCTGCAAAAAATTTTTTAATGTTTTGTAATTATTTTTAGCACTTATATAGATTTATAAACCTCTTCATAGTGGTTTACAGTGCTTTACAGAGTCAACATATTGCCCCCAACAATCTTAGAATAGAGTCTCATGGTTCAGGGGACAAAGGTGGTTTTCTTTTCTAAATCAGTGAACCAAACTATTTTTAACTGGAGAAGAATAAGAAATGGCAGTTGTGCATTTCAAATGCAGTCTTTTGAGGAAGTGAGTAGTGATGGCAGCTGTCTCACGTGCTATTTATGCTTTAGGTTGTTTCTTACACAACAACACAGCAGATGAACAAGGGGCTCCTGGTGAGCAAACCTGCTTTTTACTGTTACTTGATTTGAAATTAAGGCTTCTTTCACTGGTCCTTTCTACCATAGTCTTCCTGAAGGACAAGTCGTCCTAATGGTGCGGAGGACTATGTAAATGGTAAGCTCATTACAAATCTTTGCATTTCTTTTGAAAAATAATTTTATTTGGGATTGATTTTTGTGTCTAAGAATTCTAAGACTTTGTTGCTCTTTTTTATTCATAATGAATCTATTCCATTTCTTAAAACATATTTTCTTTTTAAAAAACCCTAATGAATGTTATTTACAAAAAGAGGCGAATAAGTAGGCTTACTAGTCCTAAAAATTACCTTTTATTAGTTTTAATTTGCAACCTTCATTCTGACAAACGGCTAAAATGATGTCCAAAACACTAATTTTGTCTAAAAGTCTAAAATTGTTCTGGTTTCATAGAAACTACAGGGAGATGATTTCTATTACTAACACAGCAGCTTGCATATAATAAGTTGTTAACATTAAAAGATTATTCTAAGAATTTGTACGTAAGAAAAGAGACATTTCATGCTCCTACAGGTTTTACCTGTGCTTTGTAACTAAAATAAGTAGTTTTTTAAAAATACTTTTATAAAGCTTTAAAATTTTACAAATATCTTAAAACATAGATTACAGAAATGTAGCCTGATGCTTCATCTCTAGCTGATACGAAATTTCACCAATATGTCTGATGTCATGTAACCACACAAGATTTTTGGCATCTGTTCATATACTGTATCTTTTTTCTCTCAATTCTAAAGCCATATGTTCTTCATCCCTCTTTCTCTTTCCCATACATTTCAAGTCTCTGTCAAGTTTGCCTTACAACATTTTAATTGATCTGATGAAAAGAAGAAGTGAAAACATTTATGGAAATTGCCATTATCACCTGCTATTAACTGTAGATGTAGATGTAAAGGGGAATTGTTATTTTTTAAAAAAAATAGAATATAATCCTATCTGTTGTCTCTTCTCTGTTCCTCATTCTATTCAGATGTTACCTGACAAATGTTTTGAGAGAAAGAACATAATATAAATGGAGGGATGATAGATTTCCAAATCTATCAATTGCACCAAACACGAACAAACATAGAAATATGTACATATTCATTTTTTCCCCTTTGCCTCAGAAGATTAATTAATAAAGCATGGAATAGCTGCAGTATATTTTGATATAAATCATCACAAATGATTTTTCTGGAAGAATCCATTGACTTCGCAACAGAGTCCCTTAACCCAGTTTGAAAAACATCCCTTTTCTTCAGTTTTTATTCACCTTTTAATCCCATGCTTTCTCTGGAAAGGAAATAAACATGCTATGAGAATGGTCCACGGTCAACTGAAGTTGTCTGTGCTGAATAATATATGTGTGGAAAAGTATGGTATTTCTTTCCTTCCTTCCTTCTTTTCTTGTGAATGGGAAAGTATGGGGTCTGTACTTTTTGGCGGGGATATGTTTCATTCCCATACTAAGAAATGCAGAAACCACAATGAAAATCTCACCAGGTTTTAATTCTCAAAGGTGTCTAATGCATCAGGTCACTGAAAGGATGAAATGAGAAGGATGGTCTGTTGTTCTCATTAGAAGCAAAGCATGTTATAAAACAATAAATTATTCTACCCAATCCCAGCTTTTCATGCATTTCCTTTTCCTCCATTCTTCTTATAATTACATATATTTTAGTCCTTCGGGTACTAATATCCTTACTCTTTTCTTACAGCACATATTTTCTACCCATATTTTCTCCCAGTTAGCCTGCCATTTTATTAATTAAAAATTGTCTTTAGAGTGCAACTGTTATTAAATTTTCACTTGGATTTCTTTTATTAATTTAATAGTTATATAAAATATTTTGTGTGTATGGTATGTATAAAAGATTCAAATGATAGGATAGATTATATTAATTATTCATTCAATTCATAATGCTGCTGCTGCTACTACTATTATCATCCTCATCATCCTTTTTTAACCTGGTGAAGTGAACATCTGAAGAGAAATTTTAACTATTTAAGCACAGGCCAACTATTTTTAATTTTCGGATATGATTTGAACATGGTGCTAATAAATAATTCCTAACTGAGATTTTTATACCAGTGACAGATGAATGAAATATAATACAAATTAATTACTTAGTATCTATAGTTTTGCCTAATCATAAAGTTATATATTTGACCACTTTTCTCATGCATTGGGGGGAATATCATATTTTGTGTTACCCACCAAATAGAGAAATTTCAAAAAAGCACCTAGGATACTATGATGTATATTAGATATCTATGGATTATACAGCAGATGATTCAATAATTGTTTCAAAAGATATCCAGAAAACCTTGTTTATTTAAAGCACTGTATGGCTCCTCTGTGATTTTGCAAGCAGAGGCTGTTCAGCAGAGAACAAGGATACATTTGCTTGACCTGAGTTTCACTGCGAATTTGGCAACTTTGCCTATTCCAACCTATGCACAGATCAGAAACTGCTCATATGACAAAATCTGCAGTGTATTTTCTGGGAATTTCATAATAGTTCATCACTATATACAAAAAAATTATATGAAGAAACGGGAATATACAAATGTTTTTTTAAAAGGAAATGGTTAGGAAAAAAAGACATAAATTTGGGGAATAGTGCACACAAAAATATGCAGAAAACAACCCTCATTCTTGTTCAACATAATGTCTTATTCTGCACATACAGTTACTCTATTCTCCCTTCGATTTAGCAGGTAATATTTCATTGCAAACAGTTATTCATGTTCTTGGACCATGAAGAGAGGGAAGAAATATTTCTGCGTTCCTTGACCATCAGGGTAAGCATCTATCTTTCAGCACAATTAGTTGCCTAATTGAGCAGTTGTATTTCATAACACACATTTTGTCATTCGATTAGTAATTTTTGCAGTAGAAATCATTGGCATGCAGCAGTTTGGAAAGCGGACTGGAAATTATATCAGTAAAAGTATAAGATTAAGTTTTTAGGTTAGTTATTGGTTTCTGTTTACTTCATAAAGGTCCCATTTTAAAATAAATTTTCACAAAAATTAATTATGGTTGCTTAACTATTAAGTAAATCATCTAAGTCAGGGCTATCAAACTTGAGGCCTGGATGTGTCACGTACTGGCCCCCTCCCACGCCTGGTTTAGCAAAGGGGGAAAAATCCCAATACATCATGTGATGCCGCCATGATACCATGAGTTTGACACCTCTGGTCCAAAGTGATTAAAATGGGTTATAAAAGAAAAAAAAACACAATTTGGTATCTGTAGAATATTTCCAAAATAAATAAGCTCATAATTTATTAAGGGTGAGAGGGTCTCTCCATCTCTGACACCAGATGGTCCTATTAATAAAATACAATCCACTACTAGAAGACAGATTTTGATGGGATGCATACCGTTCACAGGGTTCCTATTAGAACTATGGAAATTCTTCCCCAAAGTACCTTGGAACATGCAGTCAAACAATATGCATGCAGAGAACTGGGATTAGTTTCCAAAGCAACCTCTAGTACAGGTAATTCTCAACTTACAACCATTTATTTAGTGGCCATTCAAAATTACAATGGCACTGAAAAAAGTAACCTATGGCTAGTCCCAGAAGTTACTGCATGACACATGATCAAAATTTAGGTGCTTAGCAACTTGCATGTATTATGACAGTTGCAACATCCCAAAACATGCAATCACAATTTGCAACCATCTCAGTTGGTTTTTGACAAGCAAAGTTAATAGAGGAAACTCCATTCACTTAATGACTGTTGATTCACTTAACAACACCCATGATTTGCTTAACAACCATGGCAAAACAAGTCTGTGAAGTTAGGCACAAATCACACAACAACCATCTTGCTTAGTAATGGAAATTCTAGTCCCAATTGTGATCGTAAGGACTACCTGTAAAACAGAGTGAAACAAAACGGCCACCTCTTTAGAAGACAGTGCACAACCATAATTCTTTTTTAAAAAGTGACTGGTCTAGTAGCAAGTATTGCTAATCCTAGCTTTTCTTCCAAAAAATAATCTAGCTCAGCAAATATTGTTTTCAGCTTGGAAATTTTCTATCAGATCTCTTTCTAGGTTCCCTGTGATCTAGATATTAGAACTTCTAAATTTCCACCGCTAACCAGAGAGAGATGCTAAGAGTGCCTCTGAATGTAGACAGAATGTCTTTTGCTTTCCACCAGGTGAGTGCAGAAATCTTACCTTTTCCCTGCCACCTCACTTTGTCTCTTTCTTTTTCTCTCTCATACACAAATGCATACACATGGAGGTCAAGATGAGTAAAAAAAAAGGCTATAGGATAGCCACACACATATTTTAGTAGCTCTTTTGAAAAAAAAATTAAATAATATATAATGCTTATCAAAGGAACTCTACCAAACACAAAGGCACTCCAGCATTCTAAGTGCTCAGGTCTTCCATATGATTGAACATTGGCAAGTGTAGTTTTTACACTGCCTTATCAATTCTGCTGCCCTTCTGAAGCCCAGATTGCTTGATTGCTCACTAAATCTCTTTTCCCCATTGGTTCTTCTTGGGTAAACCCAACCTTCAGCAAATAAGGGGCTCCTGTACTCTTAAGGCAGTCTACTTTACAATTCTACATTAGGTTATGGAAGGATGTTTAGAAAGAAAAGTCCTTATGCTGATTATACAGAGGGACATCCTTACTGTACTCCACATGGTTAACACCAGGAAGAAGAGTAATTAAAGATGTTGGAAACTAATGTTCTCTTATCCAGTCCTAAATACTGGGTGCTAAGAAGACTGCATTTGGATAGAACCATAAAGCAACTATTTTTTTTATCCTCCTGTCCTCCAGATGCAATGAACGACATACAATAAATTTATTCTTAATCTAGATTGCCTGGAAATTTTACTCTAATATGCTGTCTGAATCTCACAAATAGAATTACCTATCTCTCTGCAAATAGTAATGGACACAATAGGCTTATCTCTTGGGCTCTTATAAATTCAGTCCAAGTATCACAGTTATCTAGAAAGATTTACCAACAGATGCTATACCCAGAAACACCCAAGAAAACCCCAAGACTTACTTGGGTCTCCAGCACATGTCAGGCAGAAATCCAAAAGACCTTCACAGGATAATACTATATAAACAACCTTCCTGAGTTCCAGTTGCTCACTAGCCTTTGACCCTATGGAAGACCATTGGCCTTCATAAGCTCTACATCACTTCATCAAGTGACTCCTAAGTAGCTCCACCAAGTCTGCTCCTTAATGTAGCCATGCCTCTGTCGTGTTTTCTTCCTCTTCAGCTTCTGGTGTCTTTCAGTTGCTGAAGGGGAAAGAGAGAGAGGTTTGGTCCAATATTTTCTACATCCAGGGCCAGGAAAAGGATTAAATTCTGACTTGATACAATAAAGTCTTTTTTATTGCTTTTGGGGAAGGTTTCTCCTGCTCCTCTTCCTCAATTATGAAAGATCCATAGAGCAAGCATCAAGTACATGCTGTATCCGTAGATAGCCCCTCCTTGATCAAAGTAATATTCTTCCCCCCTCATCCCAGGCTGCAGAAAACTGGATTTAAAAGGTGTAAGCCAGAAAGAAAGGCAAATGTCAATTCTCACCACTGTGCACAAATTTTAGATAAAGTTCTTGTAATGCAACATTTCATACAAAATGGCATTTGCTCTAGATATCTGGTAGCGATAAGGAAATTCAGATAATATAATGGCAATAATTTCTTCAACATACTTGAATCACCAAAACAGTCCCTATTGACTCATTTGCTGATCTAACTGCAAATCTGGGCATACTGCTTGATAGTTATCAAAAGCCCAGTATTTCCTGATTTTTTTAAAATGGATTTTTTAAAAAAATATTTATTTATATTTCACACTTCTTCCTCATGGTTAGTATATCTTTGGTGGGAAAGAAGGAAAGTGAAATAGAGAGGGAAATTAAAGGGGAAAAGAAAGGGGAAGGGGAAGGAAGGGAAGGGAAGAAAGGAAAGGAAAGGAAAGGAAAGGACGAGGAAGGGGAAGGAGGAGATAGAGAACAGAGGGAGGGAGGTGGCACAGTGGTTAGAGTGCAGTACTGCAGGCTACTTCAGCTGACTGCTAGCTGCAGTTCAGCAGTTCAAATCTCACCAGCTCAAGGTTGAGTCAACCTTCCATCCTTCCAAGGTGGGTAAAATGAGGACCCAGATTGGTGGGAGCAATATGCTGACTCTGTAAACTGCTTAGAGAGGGCTGTAAAAGCACTATGAAGTGGTATATAAGTCTAAGTGCTATTGGTATTGCTATTCCTGATAGAGCTTAAAACATCTCTTTTTGATGTAAAACTATTTAAGAATGTTCAGTGTTCAATTGTTTAAGTGAACTATTTTATATTTAGCAGATGTGACACTACTTTCTTTCTTTTCTCTCTAGACTTTTCATCTCTGGCTCGCAAGCCGATTGATTTTTTTTGTTATTTCACTGGCTTTGAAAGAGATTATAGTAATGCCATTTTATAAAACTTTGCCTTGTGATGTGAATAATATAATAGATACTTCCAAAATGTATATGCAAGTTGACTGCAGCGACCGTAAGCTCATACAGTTTCCAAAAGATATTCCTCACAATGTTACCAACCTGACACTTGCTGTTAATCGCATTCCAAAGATTTCCAAAAGCCATTTTATAAACCTAAAAAAGCTTCTAGAAATTGATTTCAAATGTAATTGTGTGCCAGTCAGGCTGGGACCTAAAGATCATGTTTGCACCCAAGGTCTGAAAATCCAAGCTCATGCTTTCTCCAAACTCTCCAGCTTAAAATCACTTTATTTAGATGGTAACCAGCTCTCAGCAATCCCCCAGGATCTCCCACCTAAACTACGTCTTCTGAGTCTTGAAGCTAATTCCATTTTTTCTATCAAGAAAGGAAATTTTTCAGGACTTAAAAACTTAGAAGTACTCAATCTAGGGCAGAACTGTTATTATCGCAACCCCTGCAATATATCTTTTGAAATTAATGAATTAGCCTTTCAACCTCTCACAAGTTTGAAAGTGTTGTCTTTGAAAGCCAACAACTTATCAAAGGTTCCACAAAACTTACCATCAAGCTTAAGAGAACTCTACCTCTATAATAACGCAATTCGAAATATCACTGAGCATGATCTGTTCTCTCTGAATAATTTGGAATTACTTGATTTAAGTGGAAACTGCCCTCGTTGTCACAATGCACGATATCATTGTATTGAATGCCCAGGAAGCATTTTAATCAATTCCAAAGCCTTTGACTCATTAAAGCATTTAAAGGAGCTGAGACTGCACAGTACCTCCCTTCAACATGTGGATTCCCGTTGGTTTAAAAATACTAGGAACCTTCAAGTGCTTGATCTTTCACAAAATTATTTGGCTAGAGTAATTCAGCAAGCTCATTTTCTACAGTTTCTTCCTAATCTTGTAGAACTTGACTTATCTTTCAATTATGAACTGGATTCATACCCATTAAACTTTATTCTCCCCAAAACATTTTCCACCCTGTCTAATCTGCAGTCCTTAAGAATAAGAGGATTTGTTTTCAAGGAACTGAATAAAGACACTATACAAAATTTAATTCCTCTTAAAAAACTTAACGTCCTGGATTTTGGAACCAATTTTATCAGGAACGTTAACATTTCTATGTTTAAAGAATTCCAGAATCTTACAACAATAATTCTTTCTTTTAATAAAATATCTCTTTTTTCATATGAGCCAAATAGCAGGCTTTACTCTGTTGTCAACTCATCAGATGATCAATATAATGGCAATGTATTGAAAGATATGCAGTATTTCAGATATGATGAATATGCTCAAGGTTGCAGATCTAAAAATACAGAGGATATTCATTCTTTGTCTTTTGTCAATGAGACTGCATGCAGCAACTATGGAAAAACACTTGATTTAAGCAGAAACAATATTTTTTTTATCAAAAAGTCTGATTTCCAACAACTTTCAGACCTTAAATGTCTTAACATCTCCAATAATGCTATGAGCCAAGCTTTTAATGGAACTGAATTTGCTCATCTATCCAGTTTGAAATGTTTGGATTTATCTAACAATCGGATTGATTTGCTACATCCGAATGCTTTTCAACAGCTGAAAGAACTGAAAGTTCTAAATCTTAGTGATAATAGTTATTATTTTAAGGCGGAAGGTGTCACACTTATGTTGAACTTTACCAAATGCCTGGTTAATCTGGAAATACTGATTATGAATGGCAATGAGATTTCTGTATCCACTGATAACGGAATGGAAAGTGATTCCATCAAAACGTTAGAATTTAGACGGAATCGCTTGGATATTTTATGGAAGGATGGAACTAATGAATACTTGGCATTCTTCAAGAATTTGATCACCCTGGAAAATCTTGACATTTCTGAGAATTTTCTGACTTTGTTACCTCATGATGTATTCTACAATCTGCCTCCAAAACTCAAAGTGTTAAAGCTGGCCAGTAATCGATTGAAGACTTTTAACTGGGGGTGTCTTCCAGCACTAAAAAATTTGGAAGTCTTGGATCTTAGCAACAATCAGCTGACCACAGTCCCACATGAACTGTCCAACTGTACTAAGACACTTCAGACATTCATACTGAAAAACAACAAGATTAGAAAGCTGACAGATAATTTTCTTAAAGATGCTTTCTTCCTGAGGCATTTAGATCTTAGTTTTAACAAGATCAAAACAATCAAGAACTCTAGCTTCCCCAAAAATGTTATTAATGGACTAACAACATTATACTTAAATGGTAATTTTTTCAAGTGTAATTGTGATATTGTGTGGCTTGTCCACTGGATCAATGAGACAAATGTAAAAATCCCTTTCCTCGCAACAGATGTGACTTGTGCAGGGCCAAGTGTATGGAAAGATAAAAGTTTGATTTTATTAGATATGCATACTTGTGAATCAAACTACTCTCAGATCCTCTATTTATTGTCAGCTTTATTCATCATACTTCTCATGATACTTCCAGTTATATGCCACCTATATGTTTGGGATGTCCGGTATATTTATCATTTCTGCATTGCCAAATTAAAGGGATATAAACGTCTCTTTTCATCTGATGTTAAATATGATGCTTTTGTGGTTTATGATAATAAAGATGCAGCTGTAACAGAATGGGTCCTGAAAGAACTAATTGAGAAACTGGAAGATCAGAAAGAAAAAAAATTCAATATTTGTTTAGAAGAAAGAGACTGGTTACCAGGTCACCCACTCATGGAAAACCTTAATGACAGCATACAAATGAGTAGAAAAACAATATTTGTGCTGACAAACAGCTACATTGCAAGTGGCAACTTCAGAACAGCTTTTTATATGGCACATCAGCGTCTTGTGGATGAAAAAGTAGATGTAATTATCCTGATAATTCTTGAGAAGCTTCTGCAAATGTCAAAGTGTCTCCGTCTCCGAATGACCTTGTGTAGGAGATCTTGTCTTGAATGGCCAACCAATCCTCAGTCTCAGTCTTATTTCTGGCAATGTCTTAGAAACTCCCTCTCAGCAAATAATGAGTTCAGATATAACAAGCTTTTCAAAGAAATGGTATAACACTCAGTTGCATTCTCAGAAAATATTTTGGAAATTATAGCAGATGTATGGGATGAGACTGAATCTCAATCTCTAGGAGGAAGTTTTAAAGCATTAATAGAACCAGACAAACTTTTGGTTATCTGAGAAAAAGTGCCCAGGAAGTGTAATCCCAGAACTCAATTTTCCATTTAATAACTGTTGAGTTATGTAGGAAGCTTATGCTGGTTTTTATGAATTCCCCCAATCTAAGCAGGAAAAGTGAAATGGAAGAGACAGATTTTGGTTATGAATTTTCACAGCAAGAATTTATGTGTTTTCCTATGTAAGCATGTTTTCTTTCCATTATTCAGTACAATTTGAAAGAAAAAAATAAAAATCAATATAATCTTTAGCATAAACTACAATTACTGTATATTTGAAAATGAAGTATTTTGAATTGACTCACTATTTATTTATATATGAGGGGAAAAAACTTTACATTACATAATGATACAATAAAAATATGGGAATTGTAACATAATGGGGATGTGCAGATCAGTTGGAATGCATTCAGAAATGGAAAGAAAGGATATGTGTGTGTGTGTGTGTGTGTGAAAAAATTGGTGATCTAAATGCTTTTTGTATAATGCATTTTCTTTTTTAAAAAGTCTTTCATTACCGTTTCAAAATCCAAAAAGAAAGGACTTTAAACGCTTACCCAAATATTATCAGTGACTAATAAATTTATGCTGTAATCTGAAAGCATCTATGTTTGAAGCCAGTTTGGTATAATGATTAAGACATTAAGTAGAAACCAAAAGACCTTTAATTCTAGTCCTGCCTTGGGTAAAAAGCCAAATGGGTGACCTTGGCCAGTTACGGTACTTCTCTTGTCTCTAAGAAGAAGTAGAATTGCCAAGTTACTTCTGAAAACAGCTGCCAAGAAAATTTCAGGGAGTCCAAAATGATTTAAAAGGTGCAATTGTTTAAATGCAGTTTATGTGTCTATTGATGGTTGATTTGTTTGAATGCAAAGCTTCCAAGAATTCCCTAGTGTTTTGGGATTTAACTTTCTAGGATGGCCACACATTTACATGCAATGAGACAATTAAAAAAAACTAAGGAAACAAAAAAATTACATCCTCTCTATCAGTCAATATACAGATAAGTGGGGATTAACACCAGCCAAACAAACAAGCAGAAAACAATAACTAATCAAGGAAATGTTAAGGAGAAAACCACATACCCACCAAGTATGGGAGGGCAAGCTATTGTGTATAAAAAGCCATCAAAGCCATCATGACTAGCATTTATATGTTACCTAGCCAGGTAATGAAATTTCTTCAAGCAAATAATCAAGGTTGGAGAGTGCCAAGGACAGTTATCCTAAGCTACAGATAGTTTTTTTTATACTTACTTGTTTTAATGTATTTATGCATAAATGTATGTATAAGGAGCACTGTAGTGACAAGTTTACAGAACAATGTATGAAATAGTATGATTGAAGTGGAAACGGGGTGTCAGCCTCTGCTTCACTACTTGCTTTCGGCTGTCATTGAAACGGGGAGGGGGAGGCCTGGTATTTGGAAAGGGAAGTTTTAAGTACAGGAGAGATTGTAAAAAGGGAGTTTTGTTCTCACCATCTACTGTGCATGCTGGAGATAGTGAATTTGCCCGCCAAGGCCAAATGTCCTGCATACCAACCTGATGATGCTTTTTGAAGATGGAACTCACATGACACCTGAGNAGAGAGAGAGAGAGGGAGGGAGAGAGAGGGAGAGAGAGGGAGGGAGGGAGGGAGGGAGAGGGGGGAGTCTGCATGGGTGTGCATGTGTAACTAATAGGCAAGATGGTGAAAAGTTGGTATAATGCAACTCCCACCCCTTTTTGGGTGTTTTGTGATTGTGCCCTTTTTATCATACCCATGGATATCCCTGCACCTGGTATAATCAGGAGGCATTGTAAAACCCAAAGGCAATTTGGAGATAGTCAAAATGCATTTAAATGTTTTTTTTAATCCCACCTTTATTATTTTTATCATTCAAGGTAATGGACGTACTTAGCATTATGCCCTCCTCTTATTTTTCCCATATCAACAATCCTGTGAGATGAATTAGGCTGAGAGTAAATGGCCCAAGGTCACCCACCAGATCTCATGCTTAAGTGGGTACTAGAATTCACACTCTCCCAGTTTCTAGACCGGTGCCTCAAGTGCTAGACTAAAGTGGCTTTTTAAAAAAATTAATAATATGCTGTTGATGATGTTACTGATACATTGTTTTCACTTAGCATTCTGGACAAAGTAACATTTGGTGTTATTTTCATTAGTCCTAATAAAAGCATTATTTAGTAGGCCAGATGCTGTACAATATACAAAATTGTAGCTTATTATTATTTTATTTATAAATTCAATGAGCCAACAATCTAATGGGGACTTTTAAATTAGTTTTATGCAGCTTGGGAAAGTAGCTTAATGTTTGTTTTTAATATGTGGAATAAGCAAATATGAAGTTGGACCAAGACTCTAGAAAGAGCAGAAAAACCTTCCCATAACACCCGTATATGGGAACCATAATAAAATCTATCAAACGTACCTCAACTCCCCTACTTTATTGAAAATCTGTGGATTCTGTGACTTTTACAAGAGACAAAACATATCTATATATGTATAAAAACAACTTAAAGCTATTTTCTTTGGCAGTTTTGGTGAGGAAACATCTCTGTGACTCTATTGCTTCAGCTGCACTTGTTAATATGAATATATACTTAATTACAGTATAGCTAGATGCATTAGTCATGCAAATAGTAGCTACCATATACTACTGTTTGATATACAAGTATTGTAGAGATGTTCTATGGCTGCAGCACTGGCTGGTAGTAGGTTTCTGGCCGCAGTTCAGAAATGTTTGTCATGACCTAGAAAGCATGCTGGATGGGCAATTCTGGGAGTTGATCAACACATTTTAGATGAGAAACATTGCGCTATACACTGCTGCCTTGTGTTACACAGCATTATGATTGCTTTGTTCTACATATGTCTGACCAGTCATCTAGAGAAGGCTTCCTTCTCAGGAGCAATTAACAGATTCTACAAGAAGCTGGTCCTTTTCTGCAGTAACAACCTTATAATTGTAATACAGCTGCTTTGGGAAATAGATAAAGTGCCATCCTTCTGATATTTTAAAAGGCACTTAAGACCAGTATTCTTCAGTGGACCTTTAATTCATTTTTGGAATCCATAGATTGTTCTGGGTGTGAGAATAAATATCTACAACATATCATCTGAGCCTAACATACTAAAAATGAACTATTCCCTGAATTTCCAGCTGAGCATTTTGGGCAGTGTAATCAAGCAATTGCTTTCCAGAAACCACAGATCATGAGAGTGAAGGTTCATTCTCCAAGCTTGTGGGTTGGTTTCCAAACATTTCATTACCAGGCTAGGTAACATATTCAGCAGAATTTAGGGGATANACCAAATACCAAAATGAAGAATTTTTAAAAAATAATTAAAGCCAGGGTAGTTGCTACCAGATTCCAAGTCACAATGGCTTGGTGTCTGCTCAGTGTTACCTATAGGAGGAGGCCAGAGAACTCGGGGCCTCCTCTGCATAAGGAATTTTTCGCCTTTTAAAAGTTAAGGAAGGGTTAAAAAGCAAAAAAAAAATTGTATGCTAAGGAGGCACTGATTCTCCCGCCTTCTGATCTGGGAGCAGCGAATCATGCCTGTGCAAGGGCACTTGAGCAACTGTGCAATCTAGCAGTTTCCATAGAGGGTGATTCTGGAGAGGTTGCTCTGGGCCGCCAGCCGCCGTTTCTTCAGCAACAATTTCTTCTCTGTCCGGCATTTTCTACTGGGCGGCTTGGCGCCTTTGCTGCAGACACGGGAGCTGCCAAGCGCCGACATTCCCGCTGCCCCGGCCTGCAGCCAGCCCAGCACCGAGCGGGGAGGACGAGGAGGAGGAGAAGAGCGGTGAGTCCTTGGGCCGGCCAGCCAGGTGGGGAGCATGTCAGGCGGGGGGTGGGTGGGCTGACTGGCTGGGGAGGGGGGACCATGGCCGCTCAGATGGCCCTTGCCACTGCCGACAGCAGCTTGGGTGTCCCGGCACCGTCCGAGCTGAAGAAAGCAGAGGATTGTTCATCGGAGGAGGCCGGGGGAGCAAGGTGGTGGAGCGCGACGGCGACAAGAAGCAGTTTGGACGGAGCTGGAACACCCAAGCTGCTGTCGGCAGCGGCGGGGGCCACCTGAGCGGCCATGATCCCCCCTCCCCAGCCAGCCAGCCCACACCCCCCCACCTGACCTGCTCCCCACCTGGCCGGCGAGGGTGGTGAGGCGGCAGAACGCGGCAGCGGCAAGAAGCAACACCCCCGCCGCTGTGTCTGACAGGTGTCTCGCGTTTATGTCCGCCATAAACGCGAGATGCCTGTTGGACACAGCGGCAGGGACGTTGCTTCTCGACGCTGCTGCGCTCTTGCCTCACCAACGGTAACCCTCACCGCACGTCACTGCTTGCCACAGTTTTAAGTGAATTACTGCAGTTGTTAAGTTGATTACACAGTTAAGTGAATCTGGCTTCCCCAAAGATGTTGCTTGTTAGGTTGCAAAAGGTGATCACATGACCCTGGGACACTGCAACTGTTAAACATATGAATCAGTTGCCAAGCATCTGAATTTTGATCACATGACCTTGGAGATCATGTTACTTTTTTCAGTGCTGTTGTAATTTTGAACAGTCACTAAATGAACTGTTATAAGTCAAAGACTACCGGTCCCTGTACATCTTTTTCACAGAAACATTCAGAATTCAAAGCTATAAATAGAGTTCCAGTGATTGAACTGACTGACTGACTTCCTGCTCTCCTACCATCCACAAAGGGTGACAAGCTTGATTAAAATTCAAACACTGTCATAATTCTCTCAATATGTAAACTGCCTACTAGAAGTGGGAAGTAAAGCAAAAAAGAGAATTGGAGAGTCCTGCTCTCTAGCAGGGCTCCCACCTCTTGTGAGAAGCGTAAGCCTATGGTTTTACGTTTTTTTGCAAGACACAATTAAAAAAGGAAACGGCACATGTTTGCAATCTTTTTAAACTTAATTAAATGCAAGAAAACCTGAAGGCATAGAAAAATAAATACAAAAAGCAATCATATTGCATTTATCGATGAGATTAAAAAATCCAAAATCCATTGCTGGATAATATGTGATCAAAACAACAGTATGCAAATTTCTTACTTCTGCAGAATTCTTCATTGAGCAAGATTTTTGCACAAATCAAGAGAAGCAATAACAAAGGAATTCAAAGATTAAATCCCCTGGTTAGTGTGTCTGTGTGTGTGTGAGAGAGAGAGAGAGAGAGAGAGAGGGAGGGAGAGAGAGGGAGAGAGAGGGAGGGAGGGAGGGAGGGAGAGGGGGGAGTCTGCATGGGTGTGCATGTGTAACTAATAGGCAAGATGGTGAAAAGTTGGTATAATGCAACTCCCACCCCTTTTTGGGTGTTTTGTGATTGTGCCCTTTTTATCATACCCATGGATATCCCTGCACCTGGTATAATCAGGAGGCATTGTAAAACCCAAAGGCAATTTGGAGATAGTCAAAATGCATTTAAATGTTTTTTTTAATCCCACCTTTATTATTTTTATCATTCAAGGTAATGGACGTACTTAGCATTATGCCCTCCTCTTATTTTTCCCATATCAACAATCCTGTGAGATGAATTAGGCTGAGAGTAAATGGCCCAAGGTCACCCACCAGATCTCATGCTTAAGTGGGTACTAGAATTCACACTCTCCCAGTTTCTAGACCGGTGCCTCAAGTGCTAGACTAAAGTGGCTTTTTAAAAAAATTAATAATATGCTGTTGATGATGTTACTGATACATTGTTTTCACTTAGCATTCTGGACAAAGTAACATTTGGTGTTATTTTCATTAGTCCTAATAAAAGCATTATTTAGTAGGCCAGATGCTGTACAATATACAAAATTGTAGCTTATTATTATTTTATTTATAAATTCAATGAGCCAACAATCTAATGGGGACTTTTAAATTAGTTTTATGCAGCTTGGGAAAGTAGCTTAATGTTTGTTTTTAATATGTGGAATAAGCAAATATGAAGTTGGACCAAGACTCTAGAAAGAGCAGAAAAACCTTCCCATAACACCCGTATATGGGAACCATAATAAAATCTATCAAACGTACCTCAACTCCCCTACTTTATTGAAAATCTGTGGATTCTGTGACTTTTACAAGAGACAAAACATATCTATATATGTATAAAAACAACTTAAAGCTATTTTCTTTGGCAGTTTTGGTGAGGAAACATCTCTGTGACTCTA